AGATAGATAGACAGACAGACAGACAGACAGACAGACAGACAGATAGATGTTGAGACTCTAGAAAGAGTACAGAGAAGAGCAACAAAGATGATTAGGGAACTGGAGGCTAAAACATATAAGGAATGGCTGCTGGAATTGGGTATGTCTAGTTTAATGAAGAGAAGGACGAGGGGGGACATGATAGCAGTGTTCCAATATCTCAGGGGCTGCCACAAAGAAAAGGGAGTGAAGCTATTTTCCAAGGCGCCTGAAGGCTGGACAAGAAGCAATGGATGGAAACTAATCAAGGAAAGAAGCAACCTAGAACTAAGGAGAAACTTCCTGACAGTTAGAACAATTAACCAGTGGAACAACCTGCCTCCAGAAGTGGTGAATGCTCCAACATTGGAAGTTTTTAAGAAGAGACTGGATGGCCATTTGTCTGAAATGGTATAGGGTTTCCTGCCTGAGCAGGGGGTTGGACCAGATGACCTCCAAGGTCCCTTCCAACATTATTATTATTTACTATTACAGTAAAACCAAAATGTATCAATATGAAAAAGGGCTTAACTGAGTGAACTGAAAGCAGAATCACTTCAGATGATTTTCACTGAACTATGGTATATCTCATTTTTTAAAAATGTGCCAGTTTACCTCACAGCTATCAGTTAGACTGCCTGAAGTAAATTTTGTTAAATTTCTCCCTTGTGGTTAGCTTTTTAGAAACCGCCATTTTGAAATAGTTGTACAGTTTGAAAACTATTATTTATTTTTATCTGGAGAAGAAGGAATGTCAAATCCTCCTGTTTTTCAAAATAAAATGATTTATGTCATCATCAAATGTGGTATTACTTCACCTCAAATTATGCCAAACCAATTTGGCATTAGAATAATAATATGTAATAGAAAGAGGAATATAAAAGTGCACAATCTACTTAAAATTCAGATTCAAAAATAATTTGCATGAGAGTGTTAAGAAGGAGAATAGAAGTTGGTTGTCAAGGGCATCCATACTTTCTTCCCTGCCTCCCAGATTTTGGCAAGATGTCCTATTGTAGCAAAGTAGCTATGTCAATGCACAAAATAAAAATAGAAAGAAAAGGCTCAAACCCAAAGACTGAGGTGTAAAAACCTTTGCTTTGTATTTGACAGCAAGCCAGAACCCCTGATGGGTGCCTTCTAACCTTTGGCATGACCTTTAGCTTTCTTCATTGTATAAAAGTTCCATTGTGAAACATCCTTGTTGAAAGCAAGGAGATGATGTAAGCTTACTGAGCACAACTTTGGACAGTAATAGGAGAGACAATATCAAGAAGTTGCAGAGATGCTTTGTTGTCCTCTCTATTGGAGCCTGAGTAATATTTGAAATCCTAGTATGGTTTATTGTTTCATGGAAATGAGGGTTGCAAAGTATTTTGCAACCATTCAATCAATCATTATATTGTTCAGCCATAGCCAATGACAAACATTATAAAAGATGTTTATAATTAGTGATGGTAAATAATTCATTGTCAGGGACATTTCTTGGTGAACTAGCATATGTCTTTGCTAGTGACATTAAAATGACTGTAACTCTTTTAAATATCCTAAAATCCTATGAAGTCTGTGTAAACCATGGTGCCATTTGAATAAGGTAAATTAAGAACAAACGTTTCTTGAATTTCTGAGGTGGAAAAATTAATGAGACCAATCTTCAGTGTGACTAACCTCTGTGGGCAGAATCACAGATGGTTTTGGAAAAATTGTCCTCTAAAACCAAATCTGAAGTTTATATGAAATAGGGAGCTTAGGCCAGCATTCAGGATATCACAATTAGATTGCAACTTAATCTAGACAGATTAAAATATTAGGTTGACGACAATAAGATGTCCTTTAACAGGGCACAATGGGAAGCATTATATTTCAGGTAGAAAACAAAATTTAGAAATACATCAGAGAAGGACTTGGATTGATCATTGACATCAAGCTAGATGTAGGAAGTGATATGAAACAGGTCCTAGAAAGATTCTAATGCAGTACTGGGCTGGATTCAAATAAACACTGTCTCAAATATGTGTGGTTCCCTCTAGTTTGCCCAGGTGAGATCACATTTGCATATCACACCTCAAGAATATTAACAGACCAGAACTAGGATAAGGGTATAACAAAAATTATAAAAAGATTTGAGGAAATGCCCTGTGAAGATAGGCTGAAGGAAATTGAGATGAGAAAACATTCATTTCCATTAAAAAAAAACACTATAAAGAAAATGGCCGGGTATGATTTTTTTTTTCATTTCCACAGAAACTAAGATAATAAATAATAAGTACAGTTACAATTACCTAGCTTTTGTTTAAATATTAAGGAAAAATGTCTGATGATAAGTTCTGTATAACACTATGGCAGAGATTGTGCATTCTCCAGCTCTGGAGATTTTTAAAAATAAGTCGGACTCAAAGACTATTAATTGATTTTCTTGCACATTGCAAAGAGTTGATCTAGATGACCCTTTCAACTTCATGATGTATGTATGATTCTTTAGTCTACTGCAGCAGCAGCATTTGCAGAAAAATATAAAATCATTGAGCATCTCTCCTTTAAACAAATGTTAACTAATCTTATAGATGAACTTTTTCAAGCAGAGTCTACTATTCCTTAGAAAGGAGGAGAAATAATCTACCTCTTTCCTAATTTTTGCCAGTTACCTATTCCTATTGCCTCTTGTGGCATTAGGATTCTCTACCAGAATTACTACCATGTTATCCCTTTAAGAATAGATAATCAATGAGAATAACAATAAGCAAAGAATTCTGAAATAAAACTAGGACTAGTCTTTTCATCTTTAATTCTAAAAGTAAGTTTAATCTTCATTTTTGACCTTTTAAAAGTAAGTCAAGTACTTTAAAAGTGAAAAATACATTTCTCCCAGGCTATATTTTTTACAACTTTAAATAAATAAGTAAAGTAAGTAGGATTTTTACTCCAAAAAAACAAACCAAAACAAAACAAAAAAACAAGCATAAGACTGAAGTTCCCTATTCATGTATAGACCGAATACATATGATTTGAACAAAATTAGGAAAGATATCCAAATTCAGTCAATCTCTATGCAAAACAATATTTCCTACAATTTGTCCTCTGGCCTCTTATCTTGCCCATCTCTGATCCGTTAATGCATTTGCATAATTGCATTGCTATTGCAAATGAGGCACCATAATAGACAAGATAAAACAGATCATATCTCATGATAATCTACTGACTTTGTGGGAAATATGTGGGAACATGATAAGATGTACAGGAAACTCTAACTCCACAGTACTGGACAGTTTCCAGTTAATATTTCCACCGATTGACCAGAGTATCCACACTAGCTTTTTAAACAATGATAACTTTATATCAAGGGAAGAATGTATGAGCAGAAAGACAAAAATTGCATTAAAAATATACAACAGAAGATTCATGAGTATCATCAGGAGGAAACTCATACTGGATTTCATAACATGGTTCATGCACCATTTTGTTCACTAGGAAAAATAATTTTACAACACTGAAGTTAATTTAATTGAAATAGGACTTAATGAGACAAGCTTTTTTTTTTTGGTAACCCCCCCCCAAAAAAAAGCAGATAGGACTTGCAGCAATGGCTAAAGCAGGAGTCTTCAAATTTGGCCCTTTTATGACTTGTGGACTTCAATTCCCAGAATTCCTCAGCCAGACACACTCTAAGGGGAGAATGCAAAGCCTTGAGCAAGCTATAGATATGTCAATTGTTTATATAGCTGAGGAATTGTTTATATGGCTGAGAAATTCTGGGAGTTGAAGTCCACAAGTCATAAAAGGGCCAAGTCTGAAGACCCCTGGGCTAAAGGATTAGAAAAAAATAGGAGAAGATTCGGGGTATATGTTAGTATTAAGTCTTATAATATGTAGGGTTTTTTAAAAACATTGTTTCATAGTGTTTGGACATTTCAGTTTCAAAGTAATAAAGGTGATAAGTTACTTGATCAAAATTCAATAGGAAATGAGATATGGCTCCTAGGGCAATTTGACATTATCAAGAGGGTTATTTTTCCTTTCCCAGCAACAATCATTCTCTTGAAAATGTCATCCCTTTATGATAATAAGATACTTTAAAAAGCCCCTCCATTATCATCTGTGGAGGTTATTTTGTTTTGTTTCATATAGTTCATAAGATGGAACCAGTCTATTTACTATTTTAAAGCCTTCATAATGGGAAAAGTTCTCTTATCTCTGGAATGTTCTCATTTTCCTGGCCTGAGGAAAGGTGCAAAGTTTGGGATGTAAATTAATGATGTCAAAGAAAGAAGTTAGTGAGACAGAGGGAAACCTCTACAAACCATAACCAGCTTATTGGCTGGCCGTTCCAATTGGTGATGTAGTGCATTTCTGTTACCCAGGTTTGCAAGCAGTAGGTGATATGCCTACTTGCAAAGCTTTGCTGCTGCTACTCAAACATCTCAAGCCCCCAAATATTAAGTGAGTGCACACACACTTCCTGCATGTCACAGTCACATAAAAAGAAACCAAAACCAATACCAAGCCTTCTTTTTAACTTTCTACATCTCAACAGTTTGTTAGAATAGCCTTGTATGAGCTGCACTGATTTTCCTTATAAATCAACTTCTTTGACCATTTTATAATAAACAGCCTTATGACAAAAGCCATCAGATAGGCCTTTGTAGATAAATTTGGTGCTTTAAAATGATCTCCTGGCTCTTGGGAGCCTTGTAAAAGATCATCTGCCACATTTTACTTATTAGTTTATGCTTTTCCAGACCAGGCTATTAACAGAGGTGCATCATCCCTGGCCAGAGATATACATACTCTAAGAAATAAGTATTGCATATTTACTATATTCTTTAGTAACATATATGGTCATGAAAGCAGGCACTTTTAGCAAATTGTTGAACAGCCAAAACATACTAAGATACCACATGCCTCAGGTTAGGCATATTTAATGATGATAGTGATGGTGATATAATAATAGTAATAAAATCACAATAACAACGATAATAGTATACCTGCAGGTTTTTCTGTGCTGCTGGCCACAGTGGTAGGAGGAACAACAGGAATCTCTGTGGGCAAAAAGAAAAAGTGGACAGAAAAAAGAACAAACAAATAGGGAAATGTATTATTTACTTTTCTAACTAATGAATTGGGCAATTTTATATTACAAGATAGATGACTGCAAAAATCATTATTTCATAGAGGTGACAGGGTGACTGAACCACACAATGGTGGATCAGCTAATCCATAATTATATATAGAGAGAGAAATTTGTTCAGCTTACTCCATAATTTGGAATCACCATCTACACAAAATTACATTCAGGGTAGGCTGCCACCTAGCTATCATAGCAAACAGTAGCAACACCGATGTTAATCTTGATATGTACCCACAAATTCAGTAATTGAAAGCAACACTCACATTTACGGGAATCATATCTTTTCCTAGGAATTTCAAAACAAAAACCCTGAGTTATGAATTTGAGGCCCATTCATTCACACAACTTAGAGGTTCCACTGCTGAAACTGTTTTCCCCCATCATAGCAGATCTAAGAACAATCTAAATTGATGGGGAAGTGGCATTTCAGGAACTAATTGTTCCCTTTCATTACCTTTTCCCATACAAAATCAACAATACCTAAAATAGCTGTCTTTCTGAAGAAAAATAGACTTTTATCTATCTATCAATAAAGTTGATATCAGCATTCTGACATGAGAGGAAAGATTGTCCAATGGCTATAATTTTAACTTCTAGATGTTGCTTATCTTTCACATAGAGAAATGATGTGTATCCAAGATATATTTTGCTTTTTGGTGGACTATAGAGTTTATAGACAAACTGTATGCATCTGCAGCTTATATTTTGAAAGATATATATTGAAAGAACAATAAAATCCTATTCCCCAATTTTCTCCAAATGTTTCATATCTGGTTTTAGAATGAATAAATCTATAAGTAGAACTTTACTGTTTGTACAACCATGGGGTGAACTGAACTAAAATTAGATTTGTACTGTAGTTAAAGATATGTTTAATTGACAAGGAGTGCCTATAACAATTAATTGCTCCATTAGAGAGTTCACTATGTTAATCTTTTGCAGCTTAAAAGCAATAAATCCCAAAGGGGGAAAATAGTTTGAAATTCTTATACAATTAAATTTATACAATTTAAATTGGATATAAAAAAATATTATATAGCCTTTTCATAATTTTTATTTTTATATATATACATATATATATTTTAATGTTATATTTTCCTTTTTTTATAAACATAATTTTTTAATTGTTTTTTAATTAAGCCTATATTCTGCTCTGGGAAGCTCAGGGGGGGAAGGGGGGGGTGTTTGGGTGGGGGTTGGGGAAGGGGGGTTTTGTTGTGTAATGTTTAGTTTTTTCTTTGTATATGTTGTTTTTTGTTTTTGTATTGTTTTGTTCTTTTTGTAAAACTTATAAAACTTTTTAATAAAAAAAAAATTCTTATTCCATTCTTTCCAGTAGCATTATTATATGAGTTTCCTTTGTATTTCTTTGTAATTTTTTCTTTGTATTATTATTATTATTATTATATTATTATTAATTATTATTATTAAACCAGCTCTCAGATTCACAAATAACTTTATAACAAGATATTCTTGTTTATTCTCTCATAACACTAAAAGCACTTGTAGATATTTTCAGCAAGATATGTCTAACAGTGGTGATAGTGAATTTAATCAGTAGTATTCAAAGAGCATCGGACACTGCATTGTTTCTTCATTCAGGCAGTAGTCATGTCTGCTTAGCATCAGGAAAACAATGGTATTACATACCTCTATCTAAACAACAGTACAGGAATATATTTTGAGATACATATTTCAGTTTATTAGAAATGCATCTTAAAAATTTGTTTTGGGTCTCTATCAAAGACTTGTTTCTTTCAACCATAATCTCTTTTTTTTTCTGTATTAAAGCCAAGGAATCAATGTACTGGCACGACATAAAAGTTTTCTGTTCCATTGTTATTCTTCAAAGTTGCTATAAATGTAGCTTGGCTTTTTATAACAACATTTCTTAAAAACCAACACAGCTGAGTGAAACATTGTTAAGAATTACACCACAATAAATCTGATTACAGTAGCAGCAGTTGCGGGGTGGGGTGGGGATGTTAACAGGAATTGCAATAGCTTTCATGATTCTACAGCAATTAGTATACATGCAGCATGATTAATAAGAACTACTTTTATTTTTTTAGGATTTTTTTTACATTATATAATCATCTGGGTACTGGAGCTTCTTCCCTCATTCATGGGCAACAACCAATATTTACCTAAATATAAAAGAGAACACAATTCCCAAGATTTGATCACAATAGTCACTGGTAGTAATGTAATCATCATCAACTGGATGAAGCCATGTTGATAAAGAGATCAAAAAGAACTGGATTCTCATCTATTCATACTGGAGTCAGGTGCACAAGTAGGAGTTGCTTCATTTCATGTTACTCCCAAGTGTATTTTTCTCCTGTCCATGTAAGTGAATGTAACTCTGGAAGCTAAGGAGCCATATGTGGATTCTTCTCTCCTATCAGCTATCACTATGTGAAGCAAATTGGGCTCAGAAACATTGATTTCCCCAAAGTCACTCTGAGATCCTCCCTGGGAAAAGGTGACCCAACTCTCTGGAAAGCTGACTTTTGGTTATATGGAATGGTAGTTTAGAACAGAGAGTATTATCTTCACATAGGTAAAAAGTGGAGTACAACTGGATTTTTCTTTGCAGGTTTTATACCATGTAAACTGTGTAGATGAGGGGAGGTCTTGTGCATCAATGAGTTCTGAAGGAGGATATTCCTAGAAGACAACATAGCTTCATCCATGGATGCCTCTCTCCTGAGGTTATAGCTACCTCATAGCTAGTCATCAACTCCCCTCCCTTCTTAAAATAGATCTGGAAGCAACATCATTTGTTTACTAAAGTGATTGTGTAAGCATGTTAGGAGATTTCAGATTCTTTTACTAAATAGGCATTGAGAGATTGATGTGAAATATACCAGTGTAAAATTGCTACAATTTTTTTTGTTTGATAGCAGGTTCCTATCAATGAGGGAAATTGGGTAGTTTAACATTTTTACTTGGATCTTATAAACCTGAGGTATAAATAACAATAGTAGTAGCAGTTTACAGTTAATGGGGAAAAATAAAAGTACATATTCTGCCATTCAGAATATCACCTTAACCTCCAAACCTTTTATATAAATGATCACTATTTTTTACTCAGATCACACAGCTAACACACATATATATATATATATATATATATATATATATATATATATATATATATATATATATATATATATATATATAAACTTCCCCCTACATTTATATGTAAAGTGAATGCAAAACATCACAATGCACACATTATACCTTTAAGGAATCTGAAATATAGTAAATCCAGTGTGATTTCAAAATTCATATAGATCCTCTTTTTTTGCTATTGGCTTTTGCTCTTTCCTGTGTGTTGCCCTAGAGATCTCTCTGAAAAATTGCACTTTTACTGGATTCACAGTATATATCAGTAACATCCATGAATACTGTAATGTATGAGGAGCCAAGCACTGTCTAAATAAAGCTGAGTCTATCTAGTTAGGTGTTAGTAAACAAGCCAGACTCAGGATTAATTATGTTATGGTATAGATGTTAAAAAGAGCATCCACCTACTTATGCAGGGGGCAATGGGAGATCTGCTTTGCTGGTAGCCTTTGGCACATCGGTTACAAGTGATGCCCGTCACACCATCTTTGCAGGGACATTGCCCTGTAGTTTGATTACAGGTTTTTCCAGCTGCACCCACGGGATGGCAATCACATGCTGTGGGGGGAACATACAACAAAAGGATCAGAGGAGGGATTCAAAGGGAAGGAAGGATTTTCCAAAAAGAACACGTGTTATCAAAAACCAATGGTATCCAGGATTGTTTTACCAAAATTATGGACATTAAGTGAGAAGAGATAGTCCTGTAGTCTTTTCTTTGATTGCACATTATTTTCCATCCAATATTAGTGCTTTAGTAATCTATCCTTGCCAGTAAATCTGAAAGAGAAAAGATTTCTGACCAGTACCTCCCCTTGCATTACATATATATATATATATGTATAGTTATATAGTTTTATATATATATATATATATATATATATATATATATATATATATATAGATATAGATATAGATATAGATATAGATATAGATATAGATATAGATATAGATATAGATATAGATATAGATATAGATATAGATATAGATATATAGATAGATAGTTATTCGGGTTTTCTCCTGCGTCAAATTGGAAGTGTCTTGGCGACGTTTCGACGAAGTCTCATTCATCATCTTCAGGCTGGTGTTTTCGGCTTCGTGCTTCTAGGAGTAATGTGTGATTGTAGCTGTTTCTGATTAACAGAGTGAATTTGCATGCCCAATGTGACCTATTTTGATTTCATAGGAAATTATGCCTTGTAAGAAATAGCATTCTATTCAATATGATCTTATAATATGCCATATTTTTAATATGTCATTGGCCTGCAGAGAGTAATTGGTTCAGAAATAATCCAATATATTACATCAAGGAATGTATTATAATTATAGACATGTGAACTTAAAGATACTTTTTCACTTCACAAAATATGCTGGATGAGCAAGAACTCTCAAATGTATTTCCTGACTATATAACGGGAGGAACACTATAGCCCACAGATTGTTTTATATAATACTCATCAGTAACTTATCAGTACCTATAATGTTGCTGGATTTCACTTCTCCCTGCTCATCTTTCCCTACAGAAAATGGAAGGAAGGAAAAGATAGACAGGTAGTTTGGAAATGTAGGGTTGAAAACAAAGAAAAGAGTTGATACTAAAAAAAGAGTTGCTTTAGATAGTTTCAGAAGAAAAGACAAAGAAAAGAATTGGTACTAGTTATTCAATGAAGAATTCAAAACACCAACAGAGAATAAAGAAAAAAAAAGTAGACGTTTTCAATATCTACTTTGTTTCTGTCTCCAATAAAAAATACCTATCTTTTCCACTAGAAAATTATGGGCAGGTTAAGGAGAAGAGCATGTTGAAGAGGTGGGATTAAAGCTAAATAAAAATATGATCAGAGAATACTCTTTTATTTTAAATGCATTAAAATCTCCAGAACCAAATAAATTGCATCCAAAAATACTAAAGAAGCCAGTTGATGGACTGACTATGTTTTATTTTGGAGAAATAATGGTGAAAATACTCAATGACTGGAGAAGAATAAATATTCAGCCTAAGTTCAAAAAGGAATAAATGAGGAAATCAGAAAACTATACACAGATCATTATGAATCAATAGCTGGCACAGACTTCCATGACAGGAGAACTAAGGAGTCCAAAATGATGAACATAATTGTGGATATAAGCCCGTCACTTTCTACTGTTGCTTAGTAAAATTGCCAGTCTAATGAGTTCACTTGATAATTTTCTTAAGGTTACAATGCAGTAACATAAGTAAAAAATCATGAAACAGAGATAATTTTGTACAAAACCTTGCATCAAATAAATTAAAGGGACCTGGAAATTTATTATGAAAATGGACTTTACCATGCAATTGTTCATTTGACAAACAACTACTGCTTCTTTTTGTTTGTTTGTTTCTCTTAAAGTTTCTTTTTAACCCTAAGTTTCTTTCTAACTTTTAGTCAGGAATACTGGGAAAGGCAGCTGTAAATTTAACTGGCCAATAGCAGGCGTACAGTATATTGTATCAATAGTATATTGATACTATTATGGCCTCTCCTCCCTTATAGAAGGAAACCTAAGTTCTTAGAGAAGCGGTTCTCAACATTTGTGTGACGGTGACCCCCGCCACACAAACGTTCTGCGCATGCGCGGTGCCGCGCACATAGGGGTGACACCCCATGTGCGGCACGCATGCGCGGTGACGCCCCCATGCGCTGCGCGCATGTGCGGTGACCCCCATGCGCGGCGACACCCCCATGCGCAGCACACATGCACGCGACGCCCCCTGAGGGGAGAAAATGGCAGATCGCCTTTTTTGGCGACCCCCAAAAAATGGTCGATCGACCCCAAATGGGGTCGCGACCCATAGGTTGAGAACCGCTGCCTTAGAGAGAGGAATGGAAATCTGTTGGACAAGAGACTGCCCGCCAGAACTGAGTTAAAGGTCTCAAAAGCAACTGGTTGATCTTGACACAAAATTATACTAGATGTAATTTAGATGGAATGTGAGAAACCATTGCCTTATGTGGAACTCTCACCCTTTTGCTACAAGGGGGGGGGATTTTGGCAACAGCATGACTTTATTCTAATGTCTAGTAAACTTTTTATCTACTGAATTTTCAAGAAAGTGCTCAGTTTAAACCCTCTGTTGCAGAAGTTCATAAGTGATTCTTTCCCTTTCCCTTTCATAAGTTTATATTGAAACCAAGCTTCCCTTCCTTCAAGCAGTAGCTCAGCAAATAAACTTAGGATGCAGGCTGACAAAGGAGGGGGCTGTGGGAAAGAGAAGCATTGGTCTGTATATACAAAGAATCAAAGTATCTGATGAAAAGCAAGGAAAGTTTTAAATTAGCAAAGATTGCAGCTTCCTTGTGCTTCTAAGAAGCGTTGTAAGGCTGCTGTTTAAAACACAGCCAGTGGCAGAAATGACTGAAACACATTACTTGACCCGAAATACAGCATGTTTACTAATTGAGTTAACATATTTTAACTATATCTGTCTTATCAATTTTGAAATTATTTTGATTTGGCAGGAAAGGCATTTCCTCCAGATCTTGAAGTCATTATGATATTGGTTCTAAGCTGATGCTTGACTGTACTGTATGAACTGATCTTCTGAAAGCCCATTTCAGAAATGCTTTTTATTGCCATGGCAATGCAATAAAAGTTTATTTCTTTTGTCAGTCTGGCATATTAATTTTATTATTAATTAAATCAGTGTTTTTGTAAAAAAAAAAAAAAAGGATGCCGGAACTCACACACATCATACAACCCGCCTTGCCTATCCTACAAGGTTCCATCCAGAAAAGGTGCCGGAACTCCGTTCTCGACGTTCTATGACAAAAAAAGCCCTGAATTAAATATTATATCTGAGCTTTGTTTTATCATACTGTGAAAGTATCTTGAATGCACCACCATTCTAAAAGAAGAAACTGAACTCAGCAATGTTTTTTTTATGTATTGATCAAAGAACATCCTCCGAAAAATAGGAAAAAAGACAAGCAGTTAAAAGAATTTTAAAGGACAAAATAAAAAGCAATGGTGATAGCAATTTATTCCAAAAAATAAAACAGAATTATTTATTGCTCTAAAAGCAGGGGTGTCAAAATGCCGGCCTGCGGGCATCATAACAAAACTGCGCCCACCCCATTGCTGGCAATGGCAAAAAAGTTGCAATACATCACGACACGTCATGTGACATTGTGAGTTTGACACCCCTGCTCTAAAGTGTACGACTAAAATTGGGGACAGAGGGAAGCAAGGAGAAGATTTCATTTAGACATTGGGAGAAAACATGGTTTGGTTGAGAGTTGTTCAACTACATGACAGGCAATCTTGTGATGTTGTGGTCTTCTACTTCATGTATACAATATAAAGGCTAAGCAACAGTCTCCATCAGGGGTACTACAGATCTTGCAGATCCTATCTTGAGCAACAGTTGTATAATTATTCCAAATGTTACTTCAAAACATTGGATGTAAATTACCGAGCAATCAAAACACTGAGGGCCTGATATTATTTTGTTTCACAAAGAGGATTTCAGATCTTGCTACATTTGGCACAGGATGAACAAGCTGAGCAATGATCCATCGCTGAAGCTTAACTTTTGGCAGAGAATCTTGGGAGCTAAAATTTATGAGCAAGATTGGCCTTCCAAATTTAAAGTTTATCCAGCTTATGCCTTTCCATATGTTAAATTCCATTGCTCCCCACTTGGTTTACATTGGCAAATGGAACATGAGTGCATTCATGGTTCATATCATTCATCATTTTTTCATCAAAAGCCTGGAAGTCTTTTCCCAGGGTGCATTACAGTTTTACACCAATGTTACTAAACCTGGGAGAAGCTGTCTTCCAATAGGATTATATTAGTATCAGTAGCCTGGCAAATATCAGAGTTGAAATTAATCAAAGGGGCTTAAAAAAACAGTTCCACATTTTGGGCACAGCAGGAGAGATGCTGCCTCTGGAAACTCATTTAGAAAGAAAGTGGAGAAGAAATAAAAGCAAATCATCCTTTTGTTTAAGAAGAAACACAAGGGGGCATTTCTCTCCTTTTATAACCTGTTTTTGGCACACAACAAGAAACAAGTGAAAATCGTATTAATCTGATTTCTAAGACACACATTCCAATCATCAATCAAGTGTACTTTTTAAAAGATAAACCAAATTTTCCTCAAAAGTAATACTAAGATTATTACAATTGGATGTGTCACAATGCAGTTGGTGCTGGCATCCATGAATGTCTGTTACCCTAGAAGGCATCCAATCCTTCAACAGAACAAGATGATACTTGAAACAGCAGCTCTTCAGTTTAGCAATTTAGCAGCTCTTCAGTTTAGTAACTACACAATTAATTTATTTGGCCACAGCTCTGTTATACATTTATGAAGAGGCAGTGACACAAGAGGTAAACTATGTTTAATAGGATCATTTTGCATTCATCTCTAACCTCGAACTAATATATTATAAAGAATCTATTCCCCAAAACATAGTTAGGTTCAGTTCTTGGCAAATACTAACTTCTTCACGATACATTCTTTAAAAAAGAAAGAAAAAAGGAAGGAAGGAAGGAAGGAAGGAAGGAAGGAAGGAAGGAAGGAAGGAAG